TTGTAGGCGAACTGTCCGATCTTCCAGATACATTGTCTTTGATAAAAAATCAATACCAATTGTAGCCTATATTTTGCAACATATTGTCAGAAAGGCTTCAACATCCAGCAATATACTACGGAGTATATAAAGTGGAATTAGCGACTTCACATTTAAGATGACACATCCACTATCCTATGTGATTCGATAGATTAAAATATGACGTTAGTATCAACCATGTTTATATGAGAAACTAGCCTCACACTGCATTAAAAATTGCACAAGAACTAGTTAGCTAAATAATTATATCTAAACAAAATTTTCCCTTAACCCTCGGCATTGATGTGGCATTGTATCCTTCTTAGGTTTTATATGACCAAATTATATTCCAGACCCACGGTAGCAGATAAACTCTTGAGAGCTAGGAGTTTGAGGGTGAGAATTGGCCAATTGGATGTCACCTTCATCCAAATATCTGAACATTTCATTAATTAAGCACAAATCAAATAAGAAATCGTGATCCGCCACAGTGCATTCATGTCATTTAGGATAAAAACTGAAATGTATATGTCCATGTGACCATCCATGTACGAATATGATTGATCATCAACAACACACAGAGAAGTGATTTCTGACGGCGATCTTAAGAAAAACGAGGGAGAAAAATAGGAATGATTTGCGAGCGATGGAGAAACAATGGAGATCAAACCTGATAAGTGGTGTCGAACTTGTCGTACATGAAGCGAGTGATGATGCTGGTTTTGCCGACCGATTGATCGCCGAGGAAAACGAGCTTATACTTGGCCAGAGGCGATACCACCGCCATTGTGACGCGTTTAGATTGAAATCTCCTCTGCTTTTTTGTTTGGCTGGATCAGATCTGGATCGGTGGAATATATGAGGGAGAAGCACACGGAGAAGAAGGGATGGAAGAACGGAGTAAGAAATGCGTAAGCTGCTTTGAATCATCCTTTTATATACGGGTCGAAGATGAAACCGCCAACCAAGCCGGAACACCCCATTTTCCAAAATTTTAAGAGTACCATTTTGTAATTTAAGCCTCCTTAAAGTATTTTAGTGGGGTTATTTATAGGTAAAAAGATTAAGTTAAAATAAAATAGAGAGAAAGTATTAAAATAATTTTTTATTTTTATTCCTAAAATATGAGTACAATGTCAATAATTTCAATGTATAATACTAAAACATATAGTGAAATTACTGGAATATCATTATACAGTATCATAATGTTACAGTGCAAATGAGTAAAAATATAGAACCCTTATTTTGAGGATAAATTTTATATTATAGTCCTATTGAAAGTGATTTCATTTATTTATTTTCTCCCCTTCCAAAAATATTGTTACACATTATGCAAAATGTAACAAAATTTCAACATTTTTAAATTCATTTTATTTAAAGATTAGTAAAGAAATTAAAAATAAAAATTTCATATTTAAAAATTACGTCTAAAGTTCTATATGACAAGATGTGACAAAAATATTTTATTTTATCAAATAATCAATCAAAAGACACAAATAAACAAAAAAATCGTGATTTTTAAATAGTGAGAGTGAAATTTTCGTGAGAAAGTAAAATAGAAATCAACCTATGTAGTACTCTAAGACACCTAATATTACACATATACCAGTCATTATTGTTTTCACAAATTTGACTATTTATGGCGTAGATCTCTTCCAATCATACCCTTTTATTATAATGCAGTATTTTTATTATTTTATTTACTATATTTATTGAGATCCATAATTTTAGGAGGTTATTCTCTTTCCTTATACATAGCACTTAGAATCGTGGTGCCACTCCTCACTGCTTAAACATATTTAATAAAAGAAATTGTAAGTGTATACAACTTTTTTGACAGTGTGGAATAGTCATGTTATGCCTACACTTTCTGATACTGTGTTATGCCCATATTTTATGCAATGTGTTATGATTTACAATACTTAACTACACTTTCTAGTAGTGTGTTATGCTCATGTTTTCGAAATGTATACTAACTTAAACACATTTTTGAGAGTGTGGAATGATTATTCATTATTTTGGAATTGTGGACACATGTTATATTAGGTATGACGGCAGTGTGTTATGTCCATGTTCTGGAAGTGTATACCAATTTAAAAACATTTTTTGACAGTGTGAAATGCAAGGACAACTTTGGAATTGCATCCACACAAGTTCCAATATCTCATAGCAATGTTATATTAGATATTCTAAGTATATATTAATGCTATGGCGATAGTTCTTCAAAAGTAAAATTCTCCCTCTTCACATGTTCATGCCAAATGCCACCCGAAATGATTTGTACCCATTAAAAAAACGTTAACTAACAAAATAAGAATGTGTATGTAAAAGTGATTGAAAAAAGTATATAAAAATAATTAAAGAAAATAAAAAGGTAATCGAACAAATAAGAATGTTATGTCTGAACTAGGAGTTACTTATACTAAATATATCTAATTTTATATACTTAGGACTTGTTCTTTTCACTTGATTTGTCTATTTTTTTTTGATATTATCTGATTATGATTATATTTAAAAGTGTTCCTAATATGATCTGATATAATCTGAATATCTGATATGATCTAATTCTAATATAAATAAATAAAATAGTATAAACATAAGTTGGAAAAAGAACAAGTTCTTAATTCATTTTTGTAAAGAAAAAGCATCATCTAATATTTGGACTTATAACAGTTTTGGAATGAACAGGTAAATAGTCCCCAAATAACACTGCGCTCATCTTCCTATATACAATGCTAAGATGACTTCATGAATAGTGTTCCCACCAAAAGAAGAGGCTAAGTAATTTGGGTATGGGTCGGGCAATAGAAGTTACGGGTACGGTCCGATTCATAGGGATGGACTCCATAAAGTGGCTTTATGTCTAATCATTATGAGTTGTTGGAGCATTGTGTGGCTCCATAAAGTAACATTAGAAAAAATGTAGCTTTATGTCAAAGTCATCAAATATAAAGATTTTCTCTATCTAGTCATTTAATGGATTGGTTAAAAAGCTCATTTAACAAATCTTACTATATACAATGTTAGGATGGTTTTGGGAACAATGTTCCTGCCAAAATCATCGGGTAATGAGTTCGGGTATGGACCGGGCCAAGTGGCTTGACTGACGCGGTTATGGGTTGGGCATCTTCATGTCAAATCATGGGTAAAGTTTACATTGAGTCACGCATTAACTTTACTACGCATGCGGTTCCATAGCAATACACCACCCATTTATTTATTTTGATTTGACATAAAATTTGCATCGAGTCACGCACTAACATTACTACGCATGTGGTTCCAAATCAGTACACTACCTATTTATTTATTTTGATTTGACATAAAATTTATATCGAATCACGCACTAACTTTATTACACACGCGGTCCTGTAGTAATATAGTACCCATTTATTTATTTTGAATTGACATAAAGTTTGCATCGAACCCTGCACCAACATAAAGTAAAAGTAGTGTCAAATCTATTGTGTTGCTCAATGAGCTTTATGTCAAATCCATTTAGTTTATAGATTTTCTATTTCCAATCATATATTGGTGAGTGACTCGATGCAAACTTTATGTCAAATCAAAATAAATAAATGGGTAGTGCATTAATATGGAACAGCGTGCGTAGTAATGTTGGTGCGGGGCTCGATGCAAACTTTATGTCAATTCAAAATAAATAAATGGGTACTATATTCCTACAGGACCGAGTGCGTAATAAAGTTAGTGCGTGACTCGATATAAATTTTATGTCGAATCAAAATAAATAAATAGGTAGTCTACTTATATGGAACCACATGCGTAGTTATGTTGGTGCGTGGGTCGACGCAAACTTTATGTCAAATCAAAATAAATTAATGGGTAGTGTATTGTTATGGAACCACGCGCGTAGTAAAGTTGGTGCGTGACTCGATGCAAACTTGATGTCAAATCAAAATAAGTAAATGGGTAGTGTATTGATACAAAACCGCATGCATAGTAATGTTGGTGCGTGGCTTGATGCAAACTTATGTCAAATCACAATAAATAAATGGGTAGTGTATTGATATAGAACCGCGTGCGTAGTAAAGTTGGTGCGTGTCTCGATGCAAACTTTATGTCAAATCAAAATAAATAAATGGGTAATGTATTGATATGGAACAGCGTACATAGTTATGTTGGTGCGTGGGTCGATGCAAACTTTATGTCAAATCAAAATAAATAAATGGGTAATGTATTGTTATGTAACCGCGTGCGTAGTAAAGTTGGTGCGTGACTCGATGCAAACTTTATGTCAAATCAAAATAAGTAAATGGGTAGTGTATTGATACAGAACCGCATGCATAGTAATGTTGGTGCGTGGCTTGATGCAAACTTATGTCAAATCAAAATAAATAAATGGGTAGTGTATTGTTTTAGAACCGTGTGTGTAGTAAAATTGGTGAGTGGCTCCATGCATACATTATGTCAAATCATATTAAATGAGTAGATTGATCGTCCAATTAATATACTACTTTTATATATATATATATATATATATATATATATATATATATATATATATATATATATATATATATATATATATATATATATATATATATATATATATATATATATATAAAAGTAGTATATTAATTGGACGATCAATCTACTCATTTAATATGATTTGACATAATGTATGCATGGAGCCACTCACNATATATATATTCCAAACATTTCATACCTCTCATCTCAATTCAGTCCATTTTTGAAAAATATATCTAAACATTCAAAGAGTATGTGGAATGCGCTTGCCGAGATTGACAATAGTTGAACCACCATGATGCTTATGTTATGAGCCGTTCGTGTCTAGTTTGTTCCGGGTTGGACAATAGGAGGAGATTCGATGGACGTGATCTTTCATGATGCACATGTATAGTATTTATAATTTTTTAAAATTTTATTATATGTTATTATTATAATTTAATTATATCATTTTCTTTCCTAAATGCTTTCCTTGTATACGAGTAGTTTATAATTAGGCCCTGCAAGTCTCTCCCACCAAGTCTAGTGTGTTCACCTTTCTGAGAAGCTAGAACCGCTACAGCACATCAAATCTAAAAGAGAGAATTCCATAGTTTGATACGGACGGACCGGATCCGTCGACGGCGATCTGTATTTCCGATTCCCCATCTCCGATTCCACGGCGGTTCTCTAGGTGGGATTTCTTTGATTTATTCTCCTTGTTTGGAATGCTTTATTTTCTTTTCGAATAATCCGATTTCTTGTTTAAATGAATTGTTCGTTCGCTCTGTTTGGTGATGAATGATTATCAGATTAAGCCTCTGTTTCGCGCATATGAATTCGTCTCTCTTTTTCATTAACACATGCAAACAGATTTGGATTGATTTGCTCATTTAATTCGTCTCTATATATAGATAAGCATCGCTCATTAAAATGTTTGTATTTTAATTTTTTTAAATCTAAATGGTTGTTTTAGGAAGTCTGCATTTTTTTAAAATCGAAACCCTAGGCGAGGAAGCCATTTTTGGGACTTAAAGCTCACATTTCCGGTGGAAGGAAAGGAAAATGGGAAGCAGATTGGGAAGACGAGTCGTGCACTTCGCTAACCTACCCATCAAACTTCTCATGCCCTCTTCGTTCTCCAATATTACCGAAATTGCCCTCAAAACCATCCCTTCTGCTTCGAAGGTACATTGTCTTTGTCCATTTACTGCTTTTTTTGTGTATTTTATTCATTGGCCGAAGATTGGAGTTTTAGAAGTCACTTGCCTCAGATTGAGATAAAGAGGGTCTTGGAGTCTGTCTACGGATTCGAGGTGGAGAAGGTCCAAACCCTAAACATGGATGGAAAGAAGAAGAAGCGAGGCGGGCTATTGATCGCCAAGCCGGACTACAAGAAGGCATATGTCACCCTGAAGAATCCTTTGTCCATATCGCCCGATCTTTATCCGATCAGCCTGATTGAACAGTACAAGCAGGAGGCGAGAGCAAAGTTGAAGTCCAGCATCGTTGAGGATGGTGAACCAAAGAAAATGCATTGGCTTGAAGAGAAGAAAGAGAGAGGGAAATCAAGACCAGAGATGAGGTTTGATCGGGGCCGCGGTGGAGATCGGACCAGGAATGTTCGTCGCGGTGGTTCTGAGGCGGCTGAGGCAGTCAAGTTTCCCTGGAGCAGTATGAAGTCTTTTGCTTCCAGGTAGGGTTTTTAAAATTTGAAGTAAAAGCGACAAGAGTTGAACTTCTATCTCATTCTTAGAACTGTTTGCAATGCTAATAACTGAAGAGTTGGTTTCATTTGCAACCCTTTTGTCTTATGGAGACTGGAGAGAAGCTATGTTTGTAGTTGTTTTTCAATGGGATGATGACTTTTTGTCTCATGTTACTTTAGATCAATGCATTAATTCTTCCTTTTTAAACTGATATGTGATCACAAAACAATATAGATATTCACCTAAATTTTCCATGGGTTTTCTTCTTCTCTTCTTCTTCAAGTATAATGTCCTTGAAAATCTTAGTGTGGTAGAACTGGGTTAGAGTTCTTTTCAACTTATTTTCAGTTTAGTTCAGGTTAACACCTTTTTCGTTAGCTACTCCGTATTTATTAACACTTTTGTTCACTTCTCAGTTCGATGTTTGTATTTAGGCTCTGTTCGGAAAGGGGTGTTCGGAAAGGGGGGAAATGACTTCTGGAATTATTTTCCCCATTTTCCGGTGTTTGGCAAATCAAGAAAATGAAGTCAATGGAAAATGAACCCTCGGTCAAATGGAAAATGAAGGCCAAAATCTGGAATTTGACTTCCGGATAATTTCTAAGGAAGTCATTTTCCGGTTTTCTTCTTCTCTCTCTGCTCTTCGCCCACTCTCGCGCAACTAGCTTTTTCCATCACAGCCATCTCCATAGTCTTTGTCGCCATTTCAATTAGCCCTCCCCCATCTCCATCGCCACCATCCACACCGTCTCCATCCCCATCTTCATATTTTCTCGCAGAATCAGTGCTTTTTAGTTTGATCTGAATTCTTCTTGGCTCATTTTTTTTATCTCGAAGGTTAGCAATCTAGCCTCATTTTTTGGATCTAAATTATTGATTTCGCATTGGTAAATCAACTTGTAGAAAAGTTAATAATAATTTTAAAAAAATTTCATTTTGTAAATAATCATTTATTAGAAAATGAACCAAACAGGAATAGGCATTTTTCAGACTTATTGCCGAACTCAGTTTCCTGAAGCCAGTTTCTGGGAGTCACTTTCCAAATTTTCAAACGGGGCCTTAGTTTCGTAGATTTTGAAGGGAAAGGACAGGCCTTGTATTAGAACATCTGGGTTACATGTTTCATAATCTGTCTACTAAAGATTCGTTTTAAAGCATTCGAACACCATTTACTACGTTTCAGATTGGGGACTGCGCATTTCTTCACTTGGGAATTGGGATTGGTTTATCATTCCTTTCATCTTCTTCCCCACCCATTTGAAAAAAAAAGGTTCCTATATTTTTTTTTAAAAATGTTGATTCTTGGCTTCTGTTTACTCTTGCTTGTACATGATGAATTGAAACAGCATCAATGATAGTCTTGATAGTAGGACTGGACACAGGCCGGTTCTCGAACCATCGGTTTTGGTACGTGTTCGGAACGGTTTCCAGGTCTATTTGGTAGAAGAGTGTGCATTAGATTACGATTTTGAATCTCAATCTTGAACAATTAAAACTCTCAAAAGCACATTAGAGGTTAAACTATTTCTGTCTTTGGGGATTTTTTAATTTATCAAACCTCAATACAAAGTGTTTATAAATTACTAACCTTAGAAAAACATCGTTAGAGTGTGTATGTGGGCATGTAATGAGAGAGATATGTATCAAACTGTAACCATATACTCTTATGGATTATTCACCACCAGTTTACACGTTGGTATAATGACAAAATTACCATTGATAAATGGGAGTATCAATCAGTTCCCAGGGTTGTAAGAGGTAAAATCTTTGCTTGCTTGTACAACAGAGCTAGAACACTAAGCTCTATGTGTGTTAGTAAATTCAGAAGTATCTGTAGTATGGTGAAGGCAATATACGCAAAAGAAATTCCCTGCAGCCACGATATTTGTACCTTCACAATTCCTTCTTCTCGAGACGGTAGGGGTATTTTTGGTAAATAGAGATGCTGGTCATGACCAGTGGAAGTGCTATGAGGCAGTACACTGAAGGAGGTTTTCCATCAAAGATGAACTGCAGTAGAGCCGTCACCAGAAGGGCAGAAACCATGACAAAACCCTGCAACAACAACAACAAAACACTGAAATATCAACCAACAATAGAATTGTTAATGAAGCAAATAATTTTGATTTGATTTGCAATTGGAATATGACTTCAAATACATCGAATACAAATTTGAATTCAAATACACATTTTGATTAAAATATTAAATGACAATGAAGACAAGCATATTTGATTCAAATGATATTTTAAAATTCACAGTTGTTCCAAAATGAGTATTTAAGCAAATTTAATACTCCGTCTGTCCCAAAATTATCTTCTTGTTTTGAACGTGTAAAATTTTATCTCTTTTAAAGGATTTTATTTATAAATCGGTCCATAAATAAAAAATACATTTTACATATTTAAAAACTACATCAAAAGTTCTACAAAACAAGTACACATGCATATTTTATTTTATCAAATGATCAATAAAAACGCACACGTAAACAAACGTTATCAGAAACCCGAAATAGCAAACAACAAGATGATTTTGGGACGGAGGGAGTAATTTTTACATAAAACTGAATTAAACTGACATAAAAATCTAAATATAGGAAGAAGTGATTTTCAAAAGTTATGCTTTGTGAAACATGATTTTTGTTTGGAGCAAGTGCAGTAACATTTTTGAAAAAAAATAACAGAGTATAAGAATTTTGAATTTGAACATTCAAAGCGAATCAATTATGTACAAAGTAGACGATTTGAATACGAGATGATTTTGAAATTTGAATGTTAAAAGTAGGAATTTGAACACTTTTAAAAAATATTGCATGCAAATTGAATATCCGGATATTTGATTTGTTTAAGACCCTAGTCACTAGTAAATAAATGAGGTGAGAAGAGTGTTTCAGCTGAAAGCGGATGTGAGTTAAACAAAAGGAATTAGAGGATTGCTGTAGAGATACTTACCTTCCGTACACCACCAGCATAGGAGGTCACAAGACCAACAAGAATTCCACCAATTGCATTGATTGTGACAGGGATCTGAAACCAAACAAATTAATTTAAATAGATACGTACTCCATGTATAATAATCCCAACTCTGTTGGGAATTGAGGTTTAAATATACACCATCTTATCCCTATAAAAACACAGTCTATATATGCTAGACCCTTGATCCGTTGTTGCATTAACTATCCAAAATTTTCATAGAAGCAAAAGAAGTGTAACATGTCATTTTGAGTATGTCCATTTTTTATCTGAATATAAAACAATGTCAATAGCGACTCTTTTAGCACCATTGTTAACAGACACAAAAACAAACAAAGGAATTTTTTTTAAATTAGTACATCTCATCTAACAAATATGGTACTCCGTATTTCATAAACTTGCACTGTTGGATAGGGCTGCGGTAACAAACTATGGATTAAATTTTAAATCATTTGAACAACAAACCCAATATAATCCTAATTCTGTTGGGGCCTGGATCAAGATATATGCAACCCTACCCTGGTACTCTTGTAGAAAATACAAAGCAAGGAAAGTTTAAAGTGATGTTTGGATTTTGTCCATTACTTACCCAGACCAAAAACCTAGTAATAAGTGACTCTTTTAGCTCCACTAGCAATGAAGCTAAAGTGACTCATATCCTAGGTTATCAAAAAACAAAAACAGAAAGCACTTCTCTATATATATCATTAAGAGTATGTACCAATGTTAATGGAGTCCATGCATAGAAGAATCCATGACGTCTGATAGCTTCTCCATCTGGAGACTTGAAAGCACTAGCTATCATGCAAAGGGTTCCAATTATGGACATCTCTATTGTCATCATGTAAGAACTATGTTTTTTGACCTGTATATACAGTAGAGATACAGTCATAAAGAAAATGTATTAAATAAGCAACCACAGAGTGGTCAGCACTTAGCATAGCATAGAGAAACGATGATGAGGTCTGCTTGCCTGAGAGGCCCATTGACACAATGCAGAAGCTAGTCCAGACAGTACAGAAGCTACCAAGACAGGAACAATCCCATAAAATAAGACTTCATCGGAATTATTATTATTATTATTATTATTATTATTATTATTATTATTATTATTATTATTATTATTACTACCAAATGCATTGCTGGAGCCTTCTCCAATACTTAAAAGGACAGCTGCAATGATCAACAAGAAAAGAGCCCCGATTTGTTGAATAGATTGCTTCTGCCTACAAAATAACATAAAAATTGGACTTCAAAATATGTTCGCATGCCAAATTTGAAAAAAAAACATAATTACAATAGCATCACTACAAGTTGAGGCTCTTCAAAATTATAATCAGAGTTAGATCACAGAAACTTGATTTGACAGCCAGGGTACTTATGTTACACCTTTTGCTAAGCCAGTATGCAATTGCGCATAACCTCACTCGCAATCAACTTAATGTATTATTAGGCTGAGAACTACTAACTAGTAACCAGTTAGCAATATATGTCACTGCCAGAACCAGTAGTAATAAATGAAAAATAAGCACATACCTCAATATGAAAAATGTAAACAATGCAGTGAAAAACAGCTTTGTTTGGTTCAGGATTGAAAATGTGAGTGAATCAAGATTTCGGTATGAAATCTGCAACAAGCTATTCTGAAGCGCATATATAGCGGCAGGTAGTCCAGAGGCAGTCAACGAGCCAACCAAAGTCCAATTTTTGTATAGTTTCTTCAGATTACCTTGCTTTGCTATGATAATAAAAGCACTAGTAATCTGCAATTGAATACCAATGCCACTGAATATACAAAACAATGAATTGAAGGTCAACCAAAAATTTGAGAGAGGGATGGTAGCTTAGTGATATAAAAATAAAACAAAGACATTACCTTGACTACCTCACATGCTAAAACAGATGATGTCACAATCACGTTTCGGCTGCAGGAAGAAGAACATGAATCTAAGAGAGAACATTTTTAGGGGTGATACGACAAAAAGATTTAACAGCATATAAGATAACATTAGCTGCAACAAGTATTATTAGCCTTAGCTCTAACTTCGAATTCCACTTACCGTTAATCCAGCAAGTATGCTTAAGCTGGCAACTATTTTTCATTAGATAATGATGTTTTACTTGCTGGCAATGCCAAAATTGATCGTATTAAAAGCTTCCTCCTTCCCAAAATGGATGTTATTTTGAGAATTCGCGTCAAACATTTATATTTAATTTCTATTAAAAAACAAAGTAAAAATTATAATTTGAGTCAATGCTCATTTTAGCACATGCAAC